ACAGCTTTCCTTTCCATCAGGATTTTCCATGGTTTAGGTTTTGTTCAACTTTATTTCCTGAGTGCCATGGAAATTCTCTTTAAATTAGCTTGCTCCAACCAGCTTATATGAAAGGGAATTTGACTGATGCCTGTGTGGCATCACCACTAATTTCAGCTACTGTTCCTTGCACAGTTTCCTGCTCCTTACGCCACCTCTCAGACCTGCTTTTCCCCTGGGATTCATAATACCTTGATAATTCTCCTTTTTGGGTCTCAGCATTTGATGTCTGTGCCTTAGGTCAGATGCTGCATTTAGTGCCTGACTCCTCTCCCCCTGGGCAGTGTGAGCAGCTGGAGCAGCATCCATTCACATTAGAAACCCAGAGTGCAGCCTGTGCAAAGGGATACCAGTGTTCCTCCCCCTCAGATGAGTTATGGGACCCGCTCACCAGCACTACACATCTACTGCCCCTTGCTCAGCCACTTCTTGTCAGCAGTGGCAGGAGTTTCAGATGGAACAGCCACAGGTAGCTGTGCTGATTTGGCAAAAGAGTCACCTAAATTCTACCCATTGAGTTATTTGTTTGCTAAACCCCATACACATGAATAAAACTTGTCCAAACAAAATCTGCTTTACCTTAGTGCTGTTTCAGTTACATTTTCTGTTTCTTTACAGTGGTTCCAGTGCTGGGAGGAAGGGGAGTCGAGGGTGGAACAACAATTGAAAATTCAGGTTGCTCTCTGTCCTGGAGGATAAGAAGTGTGTTGGCATGTTGGGGCTGCTTGTATCTTCCTAAAGCCTGCAAATGTCTGCAGTCCCAGCCATGGGCATGGGCACCTTCCCAGCAGGGCAGAGCCATGGGCAGGTGGAGACTGACCCCAGGGTGGTCCCTGGAACAGAGGTTGGTGGCCCTAGGCACTTTCTGCTGTCTGTCTGTCTGGATGTGCCTGGCACAGACCAAAGGCAATATCCGTTGTTGGCCTTGGTGGAATCACAGCCCCTAGATTTTAAGTTTTCAGTTGTAAGACTCAATAAGTATTACAAAAACAGGACGGTTTTCCTGCAGGTATCTCTAAATACTGATCTTGCCTTCCAATATGAAATAATCTTTCTCCCTGGTGCCTGTTTCCATGACTCTCTATTTGTAGCCACATTGTGTTACACATTTGGCATCCAGGCTATCAACCTCTAGCAAAAGAGACTCTGCTGCCAGCTGTCTCTTTCTGCAGATGAGACTGAGCTGTGTGAAGTTAACCTGTATTTCAGGCCAATCTTGCCTTGATTCCCCTTTGTCCATGTCACTCTTAAACAGTGGATTGACCATGAGCTAACTTATTTGTCTAGAAAATGTCATTTGTTTGGTCATGAGCCAAGACAAACAAACATCTATAAAGCCCCATCCCCCATTTAACAGCAGCAGGGTATTTTTGTTTTCTCTACTACGCAGCATACTTAACACTCTGGTACATTTCCATTGTACATACAGTATGTATGTGTTCCATAAATATGAGTTTGCAGAGTTAGAGATCTGTTATTTACAACAGAAGATTTTCAGGGTGTTGGGACATGTCCCCACAGCCAGTCATTCCCAGCACTGACATCTTGGCTCTATGAATTCCAGCACAGAGTGGGAACACATCCTAGAAACAGGTGGAAAGTCAGGCAGCATGCACAGGGGTTAGTCCTCTCTTTGTTCTGATATATCTGATCTTGCTCAAGATTAACACCATCTGATTGGAGCAAACTGTTGCCCTGACCTACTCATCTATCCTGGCCCTGTGCTATCCTTGTCCAACTTTGCCAGCTTCTGTGCCTTGCTGTTCCTGGTAGACATCAAGTTGATTTGCATGTCAGGTCAAACTCTTCTTGAGTTCAGTAAAACCAGGACGATGGTGTGTCTCAAAGTGCCTTTATTCATGCAATAATTCAGGATTGCTAATACCTGTGAACATGGATTGCAGATTGTTGGGTTTGCCAAAATACTCCATTTACCATGCTAAGGCAAACAGCTTACTGAGAGAAGTGCGTAAGAGAGCACATAATCCCAAAAGACAGTTTAATACAAATCAGATTACGCTGATGTTTGCCAAAATGAGATAACAGGCTAAATGACAAGAGGAAATTTTTCTGGTAACTCATCCCAGCGCTAGCTTCTTTAGAAGCAATGAACAGAATGCTGTAGCTGACCTGGAGCTGCCCCACTGGGTTGTGTTATAGATTGCATTGCATGACTTCAGAGCTGTAATTTCTAATTAAGCTCTTACCTACCTAATGGCTGCTGTGTGGCACCCTCAGCCTCCATCAAATAATGAACACTGTTGCAGGGCTGGGGAGTGCTGGCAGAGCGAGTGGGAGAGGTAGCAAAATCATTGCTGATTAGAGGTGTGATGATGTTCTGGTGGAAAGCAGCAGTGTGCCTCCTGGGCAGCAGCCAGGCTGAGAAGAAGATGAGCAGAGCTTGATGATGAGAAGCTGGGAAGGCTTTTCACGCTTAGCAGTGCTGGGATGAAACAAGCTGATGTCTGAGTTGGGAACAAAGAGCATTTTGGTCCAATACCTTAAGCCCTGGTGAAAGCTGTGTGAAGGATTGGAGAGAGCAGGTATGGTGGGACAGGACTCTCAGTGCAGATTTGTGGTGGACACTTGAGAGTCATCTCTAATTTCTGGTTTAAGTTCCTGTACAGAGTGAAGCACAGCTCCTCAAGCTGATGTACTGTGAGGAGAGAGTTAGATTGTGGGCCAGGCTTCCTTCACAGCTGCTGAAAACCCTTCTTACACATGTCTGGCCAAACTCCCCAGAAACTTGTACTGCTCTTCTGACAAAAGTGCTATAGAGGAAAGCAGCAGTTACTTTTACTTTCTTTGTAACTGTGTGACTGGAGCTGTCTGGCTGTCCTTAAAATTTATTATTTGTACTTAAAATTAGTCATTTATTATTATTTAAGCACATTGGTAAATTAAGTTCCTTGACAGCTGCAGAGGCAATTAGATTGAGAAACATTGAATTGAAAAGTGTGGCTTCAGCTACAAGAAAGAGGGAATCAGGAGCAAAAAAGGGAATGCTTCCACAACCTGCATAAGGGCCATTCAGAAAATTGGACTGCTAGGCTAAGGTGCTGTTTATTGCTGTATAATTTCACTCCACAGAGTTTCTCATTTTGTTGGTCAAACCTAAACATAGCAACCTTAATTGCCTGAAGACTTGTGGAGTGGCAAGTGTGAGGTTGCACCGGAACGCCTGACTCCAAACTGTGATCAAATTTCAATAAGCTGCTGTCAGACACCAGTGTCACCTCATCTCATGGTGTGAAGAAGTCCTTCCATAGGTGCCTGGCAAATCTGTGCATGGCTTTCCTGCATAGCTGGAATTCACATAATATGAGTTTAAACAGTGCTTCCTTGGGCCAGGTGTCCTCTGCTTCCTGAACTGACGGGACAAACAAACGTGTTGTTGTCTAGTGTCTTTGGAGGGTTTGAGAGCATGGCTCTGCTCAGACTGTGCCTAACAAACAGCAGCAGGAGCCAATTTCCAGGCTGAAATAAAGCTGGAAGAAGTACAAGTGGGGAGGGCAGTTGATTTTTTTTCAAAGCCTACCCAGATGAGATAGGGTGCTGCTGGATGTGATACCAGCTAGAAGGGCTCCTCACCTAAGCTGTTGGCTGTAGGAGCAGGAGCCCGCAGGTCTGTTCATTCCCTTCCCAGGTCCAGAGAGTCCTAAAGTCTCCCAGGAGCCACTGGTGTTACCAGTTACTATGGCAGAGAGGCTGGTTTGTTTTTTGAAGCGCAGCCTTCTGAGCAAGAGAGCTGGTGGACTTGCTGTCCATGCAGTCCATACTGCTTTTGCTGGTTGTTGCAGACTCATAACTTTTGGTCACCCCTTCTCTGTCCTTTCAGTCCCTGAGCTACCTTGTCTCTCCCTTGTCTGTCCTCTACTCACTGATGGGAGAACGCTGGCAACACGCTCCAGACTGCACTTTTGTAAACATGGCTGAGAGCTAAACCCAAGGAGCTGTGGCTGCTTTCCTGGCCTTCTTTGAGACTTCTTTTGCAGGAGTGATAGCTGAAAGGCCAGGTTACTACCAGCAGGTTTGGGGAGGTGGCTTGGTCATCTCTGGAGCAGCAGGAGCCACCTAATGCTGACTTAGGTTTGGGTTAATTAAGAAAGTGTGTGGTACATCTGGTTAGCATGGGAATGAGGGAGAGGTTTCGGAAGTGGAGACCAGTTTTGGTAGGAGTCATGGGTCACTGTTGTCTGCCTGGGATGACTACAGCCTGTGCACTTCCAGCTGAAGAGTGCCACAAGAGTGGAGTCTTAGGCTTAGTTGCACCTTCAGCTCCATCACCTCTTGAGAGAGTGCTGCTGCCCTGTCATCCCTAGGGAAGCTGCCTGGGAGCCTCATTTTACAATGAACTGTCACTGGGCATGCCACATATGTGCTCCAGGGCTCAGACATACCATGCCCAGCTCATCAGCTATTTTGCACCTTCCATTACTTAAAATGAAATTAAACATTTAATCCTTTTATCTACTCTTTAGTGGCATAGCTTCATCAGGCGTGGGGCAGAATACTGTCCTACACAAATGTGAGGCCTGATTTTTCAAGTGTTCCTCCAGGCAGTGAGAGATGATGGGCTGAATCTCTCCAGGCTGAGAGAGGAACTGAGCCCACATCTTGCCTTTGAGCCACCTGAGTAGAAACCAAAACTGTTGGTGGATCTTACTGGGATGTCATGAACTTTAAGCTGACGGAGCAGACAAAGGCAGCAGAGTTCAGTGTATATCCAAAGTAGACAGAACCATACCCACTCTTCTGAAAACCTTAGTGTTTCCTCTAGTTGTGTCTGCACAGCTCACTGCCATATACATCCTGAGGCTCCCAGTACTCTCTGTAAATGTATTTCCCACAGGGTCACAGATTTCAAGCCAGTGACCAAGAGGCTTAAAATATGTCACCACAAGGCCTCCTATTTAGGTGCCCAAATCCTCTGTTGCATTTTGTTCATAACTTGTCTGAGTACTGAGTCTGCCCTTCTGCACTTTCAGCAAATTTGTGTGAGAACCACGTTCAAGAGAAGACAAAAAGTTCAGTCAAACCCAGAGGAAGAATGGTCAAAGTTTTCTTTCACTCTCCTCATTAGAAAATTCTACTATGGCTGTTTCTTTACTGTCCAGGTTTTCCCATAAGTCCTGCATCTCAAATGTTTGTGGAGCACAAGCAGAAGTACCATTTTTTCCATCACTCAATGTCCTTTGTGGTGAAGTTGTCCCAGAATCTGTTGAAGGTGGATCATCATCAGCATTTGATGCTGTACTAGGACTATGGAAGCTTGGTAAACTCCATCGCTGAAGGTTTCTCTCATGGTCTGTTATGAGACCAGCTATGTTACTAACCTGGGGCTCATGTTTGGGCTCTCCTATCACACTAGGAAGTGACTGATGCACCTCTGAACTTGAGAGGTATGGAGTCATTTCTGGGGGGAAAAAGTGTTGGTTCAGAAGAGCCACATTTGTCTCAGCTATGATCCTTTGGAGCTTCTCTTCTGGCATGCTTGCAGAGCGCTCTGTTGGGAGCTCTGGTTTGTCCAGCACATCAGGTTTAATCTCCTGGGCTTCAGAAACAATGACCTCAGGAACTGGCCTGGCTGTGTCAGATGAGGTGTCACTGTCACCAAACTGTGCCTCGCTCCTGGAGGTTTCTGTTATGGGTCCTAGCTCTCGGCTACCATGAAGTCTGTTACTTCTGCTAACTCCTTCATGTTTCCTCTTGAAGCTTAAGGTGGAGTGCCTCCCTCTTGTGTGCATCTCCTGCAGCCGTCTGATGTGCCCTTTTTCGTCTGCTGGGAAAAACACCGAATTCTCACTCGTCTGCCGGCTGTAGCGCTGGTGAGTGGGGTATGAAGGACCCTCATGGACACTGAGAAACCTCTTGACTCTTCTCAAGACTGAATACTGTCTCTGGTGTTTCTCCTCTTCCCAAGGCCACTCTTCCCCATAGAGAAACTCGGTATCAGCCAGCCTGCCAAGTAAAGCCAGGTAGTACATGTCACTTAAATATAGGAAGCATCAATACACATTTATCCCTCTGTCTCAGACATAGGACCCAAGACATAGGAACCAAGGCCCGGGTGTGTCCCTAAAGAGAAGGAAGAAAAAGATGAGGATGCCAGGAAAGAGTGTCTGTGCCTTTAAATCAGTCAGATCACACAAAGAACTCCCCACATCCAGATGTCTCTTCCCCTACAGACAGGCTGGGAGGGCATCCAGCCAGGCATCTGGCACCATTTCATATTTGAGCTGCAGCCTTCTTAGGCCTAACCTTCTAACACGGTTAGGCTTGTGCTCAGGGTGAGGGAAAGGGGAGAAAGGAACCCTACTCAGTGCTGTAGTTACTTTTTCAGGAGAATCCTTCAAGAAAAATAGCAACAGTGAAAAAGCTACTGCTGGAAGCAGAGGACAACAGTTTCAAAAAAGGTTGAAATTACTCAGATGGCCAAATCTCACTTACTTCTGGGGCATGACAGTGTGTCTGAAGGTCTCACTTGTACCTGGTACTCTTCTCCTGCACAGGCTTGGTGCTTCATGAGAGCAACTATTGCTGCACATGCCAGTGAATTCAGTGCACGTCACTGACAGTGCAGTCTGGGCAAGCCAAACTGGCCCAGTTACTTGTCCTAAGGACAAGAATGGCAAAGGGGCGTGGGCCAAATCTGAGGCATGGAGCACAGGCAGGCAGCTCCAACCTGGAGGGACAGAGGAACTTCATCTATCATTTGTGATTATCATAGAATAGTTTATGTTGGAAGGGACCTTTAAAGGCAGCTAATCCAGCCTCCCTGTGATGAGCAGGGACACCTTCAACTAGATCAGGTCACTCATGGCCCCATCCAGCCTGGCCTTGAGTGTTTACAGGAATGGGACACCTGCCACCTCTTTAGGCAACTTGTTCCAGATGTTAGCTTGAGGTGGCTGGAGAAGACTTTGGGTTTTGGCTCAAGTTTTATATAATTGCTTTGGACTTGGAAGAATTTTTAGAGCTTGTTTTTGAAGTTTGCATAAGAGTTATCCATAATTTTTTGAAATATGAACAAAGAAACGGTTCACATGAGAAGATAATTAATAAAAAGTCAACACATCAGAGCTGTTTGCATTCCACAGGAGCTATCAGGGAGCTATTTCTCATTTTCTCCTTCCTTAAGTTTTTTGTGTGAAGTACTTTTTTATTAAAAAATTGTTTGCAGACTTAATGATGTTTCTTCTTTGCCACCTGTTCCCCCTAGAAATTACCTTAAAATAAATTATATTCTATGAATTTTTCTCCTTTAGTTTTTTATTTCCTTCTTTACCTTTCTTTTTGCCATTTTATATTTTTTCCAGAAGGAAATAACCTCTAAAAAGGCTGTGTGTGATAAAACCATTGTCCTTTGTAGTAGAATGCATGCAAAAATGAAAAAATAAGAAGAAAAAAAATGAGAAAACCACAATTTTAAAGCCAAATTAAACAAAAAATTAAAGACATTTTATTTTTATAAAGGTGGGAAACGATGGGAAAATTATAAATATCTTGAGATATTTTTTAAAGTTAAAAAAATGTCTTCTGTAAAGTTTTTAAAAAGGTTTTCACATGAGAACATCTACTTGCCTGGTATTTTGTCAGTCAGGATGGTATTTACGCTTATTGATCAGTCTGTATTACAGCATGTCACAAGTATTTAAACTAACAGCTTCCAAGCTAACTGGCCTGTCACAGATTCCTCATATAGATCCTGACAACAGGGGGCAATCCCGTACCCTCTATTCTTTGTAACCATTGTTCTTTGCTGATCTCTGCAAATAAATACCTTCACAAAATCGGACCATTTCAACTTCCATGCCAGGATTATTAGTCAATAAAAAGTCATAAAATATTTAAGATGATTTGTTGTTGATCTTCACAAAAATCTGGACTGATTTCAAGTGTCATCTGCTAACCAAATGAGCAAAGGAATAGCTGCTTTGCTAATTGGGGATGCATGAAGAAGCAGTAGAAAAGCAAGTATCTTTAAGATAAGCCAGTCACTGTCTTCAGGTATCATCCTGTGCTCAGAGACTATCAACATACATATTCAGAGACTATCAACAAACTCTCCCTGCAAATACACTCTATTTATTGATTATACAATTTAAGATATGCATGCACAGCTTGGATGAACACATGGACCACTGGAGACACCCTCCCACCATCACCAGCCTGTCCACTCCCTCTTAATTGCTTTTCTCATTTCCACCTTTTCCGCTGGAAGTATCATCAGAGCCCACATCCCTGCACTGGCTGTCTGCCAGCCAATGCAGGCTGTGGGGGTGGTGACCTTTCTGATGGCATTAAGGACCCTTAGTGCCACTCACCCCATTTCAATAGTTGATCCAAGAAAGGAAGGAATACAGTAATCAGCAGCTGCTTTTGTGTAGGGTGGGCGGGCAGAGGTATCATTCCAGTAAATATCTTTCTCCATCCTTGGCAAGTTCATGTGCATCTCATCCACAGCCAGAAGTGAAACCTTAAATTTTTTTTGCATAAATCATATCACTTTCAACATAGTGGAGTATATGAAATAGTCTACTTTATACTCCCTGGGTCAACATTTCTTTCAGAAACCCTTTAACATAAGCTGTGTATGATGGCCTGGGCATCAGGAGAGACTCAGTATTACAAAATAAACCCCCTATATCTGCCTATACTCCTAAGAGAATAAATTTTATCATAACTTGAATCTTCTGGACTGCAAAGATATTTGTGCCAGATTGAAGTCCCTCCCACACGTATAATGAGTTAGATGGGATCCTTATGTGCTATGGAAAATCTGTGTAAAGTATTACACATGTGCTCCTTGGAGTGTCCAGAGGTCAAGAATCTTTCTGATAGGCTTCGTTGCTGTTTTAAGACATTCCAAATGAAGTATGTGAACACTCTTCTAATAAATTTTACACAACAGGCTCTAAGGCACAGTAGCATGAGTATCCTGACATGGTGCTAAGCCAGAGAGCATCTTTGTCCATGTGAAGTCCTTTCCCATTCTTGCACATACCTGCATGGCTTACTCTGGTTCCTTTGCTTAGTTTGGTGGTTTATGTGGCCCTTGCTCCCCCTAACTCTGGGATGTGGTTTCCTGGAGTCCGACAGCAGCTCAGCCAGCCCTGTGCTTGGCTCTGTGCAGGGGGAGCAGCAAGGTGCTGTGGGACCTCCTCATGTCTCTGAGCTCCTTGACAGCAAAACAGCCAGGGCTCTTTGGGAATCAGGGGTAAAACTGTACCCTTGTCATCTCACAGCCCCTGTGACTGGGGACACTGGCTCCTGTGCTGACCACAGATACTGCTGTGGGTGACAGCAATATCCCAACATGAGTCACACTACTGGCCCTGCTTATTAGTTCAGGGCCCTGCTTAGTGTTTTTACTATTTTTGCTGCCTTTCTCTTTAAAGGAAGGTTCATATACAATATTTTAATCACGAGACATTCAGATTACCAAAATTTGTTCTTATCTATGTGGGAATGAATTTTGGATTTTGCAGGATTGACCTACATTACATGTTTTTCCAAGCAGAGTGGTTTTATAATTTAAGGTCAGCTGTTTGCATGTTTAGTCAGGCATTGTAAAGGCCAAATACCAAAATCACAATGAATTAGGTTGTGAAAGCAAACTCTGTGGATCACAGCCACAGGTGATCCTTCAGGGAAAGAATATGTTTTGCTAGCACTTGTTGCCCTGATTTATTCCTCAGTTTAAGACATAGCATTAGATGTAATGATAACCTATGGTAGAGTAAAGCTAGAAGGAGAAAAAACAACAGCAACCTGTAAATTTCTATCGATGCACCAGTTAGTTTCAAAATCATCATCATCTTCTCCAAACGGATTAATGAGTTGTTCAGCAACCTGGAAAGAAAACGAGACAGTGAAGAGAGGTTGGCATGCCATGTCAGGACTACTGCTGCAGAGAAAGTAGGGTTGGATTTTTCTCTCTCTCCCTGCCTGTCACTTGCAATCACAGCTTGAGCTCCTGTGTGATTGTTCTGCCAGCCTAGCCAAGGAGCAGCTTGCTTTCACTATAGATTCATATCTCTGTGCCTCGCTGGTGTGTCAATCACAATTGTCACTGCTGGCCTGCTGGGAACTGAGACATGTCTGGGCCAAGGTAATTGTCACATCCAATAGTCATTACCTTTCCTTACTGTTGGCTTTGGCTCATTTAAAGGAATGGTTTAGCAGCTAGAGGCTCTGTTATTGAGCTGTTGTCTGCAACAGTCCACCAGTCCATGGGGTCAGTATTCCCAAGCCTTGCAGCTGGAGTCTGCTGGAGGGAGCAGGGCTCATCTCTCCACCTCAGCCCTCAGCCCCTACTTCTTTATCAGCATTAACCCCAATGGCAACCTTCCAGGGCTTTTGAGGAAAAGCAGCATACAAAAAACTTGACTCAAGTTAACTCTGCATCATGCTAGCCAAATCCCAGAGACAGAACCTGTCTTTAATTCAGCCTGCTGGCTTGGGTTTGTGTACCTGAAGTGGTTAAACTGCAGGGCAGAAGCTCATCCCATGGAGGACACAATCAAACAGTGAGCTCAGACACATTTGTGGTGAGGTATCTTAGTCTGGGAGCTAGTCTGGAAAGGTACTCTCTCTGGCTCCCCAAATCCAGTGAAAAAGTCCACAGAGACTGCCCCCCACTCCATGATTACTAAAGTACATTGTGTGTAGAGTAAGCACCATACTGCTGATGGAGGGGGAAAAAAAAGGTTAAATAGAAAAAAAAAAGTTTAGGAAATTCAGAGTGCTTCTCTATTTCCTAGTTTCTTGGTACACTGACATTAAATATCCTCTCCCCTCCATTCTTTTCTCCTTCTTTTTATCTTTTTAAGCCCTGGTTTTGAAGCTGATGGCATTCTTGATAACCCTTCCAAGACTTCCTTGTGATCACCAGGGCCATGCACAGGAGCAGCAGTAGGTCCTTGGTTTAATGTGGATATGGGTAAAGCAACTGTATGATTAAACAGTCCTGTTCATTAACCTCACCATGGACAGCTATGTCTAAATAACTTACAGCTGTCAGGCAGCTGCTCCCTGCATATTTCCCCTGTGTGCCTCTAGGCTGTACCTGTGGATAAGCACTTGCTGGCTCTCTGAGGCCATCACCTCCCAGGCCAGCATGGGCACACAACAAAAGAACTGCTGAGTAGATTAACACTACAAAAGCACCTGTAAGGTGGGAGCAACGAAAGGACACAGGGGTCACCTCTGCTCACACTCATTCACATGGCGTTAAATTCTGGGTACAGCTATGAAAGTGCTGCAAAAGGGAGGAACCAGAACACAGTCTGTGTTGTGGCTCTCCAGGGAAGACATGGATCAGCTTCATGTATGCCAGTGGACCACCACCTAAAAGTCCACCATAAAACCTATCAAATGAGCTTAAAAAAGTGAGGACTGGGACAGAGCAAATAGTGGTGGTGGTTTTTTTTTTTTTGCTGACCTCATCCTGGCATGTGAGACATGACTTTATTCTCCAGAAAATAACATAGTGATGGACAACTAAACTCTGTATTTGGGCAGTTCATCTGTCCCTGTAAAGAAAATGGGGATTTAGAAGGGTCTCATGTAATGGGAAACTTTGGCCCTTTATTATAGGTATAACAGACCAGGCTTGAGGCCAAGGAATGAGCTCAGCTTACCCATTATTTCTGAGGAATTGCCAAGTTACTGGAAGTCAATACCTCAGGGCCCTTTTTGGTGCCTGGCAGCCAAAGTCCAACACTCTCAGCAGGAAACTGGCTGTAACCTTCAAGACAAAAATATCCTGACTCGGGGCACTGAAGGTTTGGATGAACCCCCAGTCTGAGGAAATTCTGCTGATATTAAATTAACATTCAAAAACTTCTTCTTCTCTCTTTCATTTCCTTATGCAGAATATTTTTCAGTTACAATGGCATCTCATACCTGCCACAGTCAGGAGTTGGCTGGAAGCTCTGAGCCTAACTATAGGAGGAGATGCTATAAACATCCTTGGGTGCTGAAGAAGGAAAACCCATTTCAGGGGCACCAGCAGGGCAGTCAAGAGGAACAGCTTACAGTTTTTAACCCTCTAGCTTAATGGGAAGACACTGCCTACAGATAAAGCCTCACTTTTCTTCAGAAGTTGCTGCTTTCACTGTACAGCCTCCCTTCTTCTTTGTCCTGCTCCCATCCAGGCTGGTCCCTATGCAGCAAAATCCCTTTCCCCCTCATTTCCTAGGACACAACACTAGAGTAGCTTGTCCTGCACACACTTTACTTTTCCTCACAATCTGCCAGCTTGGTGTGCTGTTTTCTCCACTCTGCCCTTCAGAGTTGGCTGTGGGAAGGCATGTATATGACCAACTGTGTTCAATCTATATTCTAACAGAAAAATTATATTCTAACAGAAAAGTTAGCTCTATGTTTCTATCCATGATTGATAAACACAGAAGGAAATCTAATGGACATGGACCCCAATGAAAATTTTTTTCCAGCAAGTCTGTTTCAGAGGAGAGAACCACCTTGAGGTATGTGGCTTAATTACTCAACGATCAGATTGACTGTGATATGTTAGCTAGCAGTCATCAACAGGCTGATGGGCAGCATCCAATTCCTCTACAACTCTTCTTCTTAATGAACATTTTTATGCAGTGGGTTTCTAGCCAATATTGTCTGACACTCTTTCATAGCCTTCTGGAACTGGGGACCTTCAATTGCCTGCATCTGATGAGGTTAACAGCAGATACTTCCAGCTTTGATCATAAAAAGAAATTATCATTCAGTCCCTTTCAGGTGATGCCAAGTCTGCAGCCATAGTTTCCCACTGCAGAATGGAGTGGGAGAAAGGGTTTTTTAATTCTCTTTTCTGTCACTATATAATTCAAGTCCTGAGACCTTGTGGGAGTAATACTCCCTTGGAGTTGTGGTGGCATTGGTGCTACTAAAATGGGCTCTTTCAGATTCACCACCATTTCTTACCATATGGTCTGTCAGGTGGAATTAAAAATGCATTGCATGATATTTCTATATGACCACAGAGCACTTCAGGCTGAGTTCACCTCTAGTGTAACTTCAGTATTCATTGGGGATTTTACACGTGTGTCACAGATCTGACACCTTGACCTGCCCCCCAGGGAGAAAGCCAGCTTACCTTGAGCCATCCTGCATAGAAGAAGAACTGCAGCAGTGTGAAGATTGGAATGTAAATATCTAAGTCATGTCCCTGGTACCCTTGGTCAGTATCCAAAAATTGACGCCCTATCAGGCAGGCAAAGAAAAAGGTATAGACTGCAAGAGTAACAACCTGCAAAGAACAGAACTTCATTGAAATAATGAACCAATACAACCTTATGCACAGGGCAACCCACACCCAAAGGCCTTTGTCTGCCTTTTGCCATCTAATTTATAAACCTGTAGGAGATATTGCAAGTACAGAGGCCACAGGAATAATTACGGCCAGGAAGAACACTCAGGAAACAGAAGAACGTTTCAGTGCTTCCCTCCCCTCTTCCAAATTACGCAAGATCTTCAAAACATCTCTGCATTAAATATGCCTTAAACAGTTAGCCAGGCCTCCATGATCCTGTGCAAGTGAACCAGTGCTCAGTATCTCAGAGACTCAGGCTGGGATTATGAATGTTTTATATAATGAATGTTTTGTAACAACCCCCCTTTTATGGAAATTGTGGTTTGAACTTTCTACAGGATAATAGCTCAGTACCTGGGTATAGACCAGTGGAATTCCAACCCAGTCATAACCAAACAAAAGGCTACACCAAGACCGGTACTTATTCATCTCCTAAAAGGCAAAAAGAAAAAAACCCAACCAACAAGAAACCACAACAAATTAAATTGCATGGGATACAATTCTGAATTGTAAATATTTTGTTGCAGTTTATTTTTGCACATATAAAAGGACAGGGAGAAAAGAAGGTAAAGTATATATAAATTGATACTATAACTGTACCCAGCACCCCATTTGAATATTGACTTTATGGAGTTGAAGTGCTTAGTATGCTTCGTATTTCTTCACAATTCATCTTCTGCTTCTGTTTTATTCACAGTGTAGTGATACATGAAAGAGATTATATTACATCATAAAAATGATATTTTACCACATAATGAAATATTCAGGGAGATTATCTTCTCTGAAGCTGATAATAAAATCTTCAAAATGCCAAATTATTCTCATTTCTCATATTTTAAGCAATGGGAAAAGTATAAATTTAGAGTGATGTTACAATAATTTTTTACTTATCAATTTTTTGCTTTTTGCAATACCTTCTTAGTCATATTAAAAAGAATCCCAGTGAATGCTGCTGTGTGTTTAAGTGTGCATTGGTACACAAAGAAAAGCGGGATAAATCCTGAGTAAGGTCATTTAGATGACACAGGAGATCTGTGCATACTAAATAAAACCAATTATGTAAGTGAAACGCACCATAGCAATTTCAAAAACAATAGATTAGTTTTTTCTAGATTTCCTTTTTTTACTTACATTCATCAGTGTCTGCAGATCCACACTGTCTCGAATTCTTCCCTCCTTTCGTGCCTTTGATGCCAAATTTCCAAACCAGACAAATGGGACCCAGTATTTCAGGTGGGGAGACTTAAGATCATCAAAAAGTTTTCTTTCATATTTTGTCATAAAACCTATTTACCAAAAAAACAAAGCAACCTTCATTTATTCTATGCTATTCCATGATTCTATACATTTGGAATATGTTTTTATCTGTTTATGTATTATTTGCAAAGAACTCTGATAAACACAACTTATAATTCAACTAGTAACCTCCTCTTAAAAAAATTCAGGACAGATCTTGCTTGAAAGAACTTCTTTTTGCATTAATTACCTATGCTAAATTCCTCTTTGCCAATATGGGCAATAATTTATTATTATTGTGTTCTTATATCTAACTGCTGACAGATAGTAGATACATAGAATACTAAGAATTGTACAAATTACTCTCTAGTTTCATATGCTTCTTTCAGAAAAATAAGGAACTGGACATATCAGTCAAGACACATTTTTCACCAATGATAGCTTTCAGAAGCATTTGGACATATTGTAAGGGCAGTTACATGACCTTCTGATTCTGATAATTTTTTGTTGCATCTGCAAAGCAGTGAGCAAGCAACAGAGGATACAAGTGCATGCATGAAACAAAGCTCAACAGAGTGTGTGCCTTCTGCCAGTGAAACACTTCCCTGACAGATGGTTTGATGTTTTCTTTGGGGCTATGAAGGCATGCAAAGTGATGAAGAGGGAATCAAGCACAGAAATCCCGCTGCTAAGGGGACACTGGGCCAGGTGACATGCTGTGGGGCTGCAAGCTGAAGATGCTCTCTGCCTGGCAATTTGCCTTGCTGGGGAGCTGGGAAGGTTTTAGGTTTCCTGAAGAGCTCTCCTGCCTTGTGAAGCCCTGCTTCCCCCCGCTGCAAGCAAGTCCAAGGTCACATAACCAGGGAGCCGGGGCTGTGTGTGACAAATCCTGCACCAGAGCCAATCTCTGCCTGGGACTGGCAAGGGAGCAGCTGCCTTTTGGAGCAGCACCTCTACCCCTCTGGGGAAGAAAGCTCTGCTCTGCTGTCCTCCTCCCACCCAGGCTTTGACAAAAACAACCTCAGAAAATTCACATTTTCCTTTCTCCAAATCCTGTATTTTCTGGCATCGGGGCAATTGTCATGTTTGAAGGATCTTAGTTTTTGCTCAGGTATGTGACATCTATCATGTGGGTATAAAGCTTCTTTTGTTGTATTGACATTAGCTCTGAAACAAGACAAAGTTAGTAACATGACAGCCCCAAAACAGGGGGCCCAGCCAACCAATTACAAGTCTGAATGCTGAAAATTCAGTAAGAGAATTGACAGTAGACTCCAATGAGTAACTAAGAATATGTCCATTATGGCTAACATTGCTAATGACACATGACACAGCAAACAAATAAATATTATAAACTCAATTGGGGTGCATAGAAATGTGAATTAAGTAAAAGGAGATTTGCTAAATACAGTGATCTTAAATATTCTCTTTTTGAGGAAAATGTCACTATTGTACAGTTGGAACAAGACTACACAGGAGGTATGAAATACTGCAACTACTGAGAAGAAAGGCAAGGACAGGACAGAAAACACTGTGGAAGAGGAAATATACAGCAGCAAGAGACAGTACTCATGCAGTATCATAGAATTTCAGAACAGAATAAGATAAAGCTTTTTAAAGTTCCCTGGGCATTTTGCATTTCTCATAATTAACTTCACTGAAATAATCAGGCAACCAGACAAATTAACCTGCTAATCATGGCTCCTGATTCCTAAAACTCAGTCTTTCAGGCTGCTTTTAGTTTTTGTCCAGCCAGTCTGCTTATTACAGGACAGGAAAACGTCTGTCAGGCTGAAACAGATAGACAGAAAAACAAAAAATTGAGTCTGGAGTAAACACTGGATGCAAGTCACTTGGAGGCTCTGGAAAGACTCAGCCTGAATGGGTCACAAAGAACAGCAAGGATCAGTTCAGCTTTCCACTGAAATTGGGCACCTTCTGTTCAGAAAGCTCAACAAAATCTGATTTTTTAAATTATAAAGTTCAAATTGGCATTGAAGTTTTGTGTTAATATTGATTAAATATTCTATTTTATTAATATTAATAATGTCTACTATTCTTATTGCAGAAAATACTAATTCTGGATTGCTCTTACTGCTGGCAATACAGACAACATGCACTTAAGAATAGCTCACTGTTATTGCAGTGGTAAGGAAACACTTTATATTCCATTAAATATAAGGGAGGATATAAAATTTCAGTTATTAAAATTACATGGTTTCTAAATATGGTCATTCTATTCTTATTTAGAAGTATTCAAAGAATTAACCAAGAAACTCTATAAACAAGAATACTGGTTTTGACAAGCATTGGAAGACTGAAGTAGCTCCAGAAAATGGGAAATATTTGTCAAACATTGTGCCAGGACCATGAGAAGGATGACCTAAGGAATGACAGGGCACTGAATCCTTGTGAAAGTTTCAGAAGAGTGACATGGACAGCAATCAATAAACAATCAAAGGATACTAATGTGAGCAGTATCACATTGTCAGCCAAAGAGATATTACAGGAAAATTATTGATGAGAACACAAGCCTGACTGGGACAAAATCACTCATGCTCTCCCTTGAGTGATTCAAAGAGTATTCAGTTCCCCTGTCAAAACTCAATGGCTTGAGACAAGACTGGTTCAGGTAATTCATATTAAATATTTTTAATACTAGTGGTTTGAAAAGAAGGATCATGATCAAGTAGATAAAAGTTTCATTTTCTGCTTCTGTGTTATGTGGGGAAGGATTAATTCAGGTGCTTCCTTCCAGTAGAGGATTTGGGGCTGCACTCTTCAGCCACCCATAGATACTCCTGTTGCTGAGCTCGCACCTCATGTTTCTCTTCAGTGTTTCCCATCAGCTCTTTTGGGGTGCTCTCTGTTCAGCTGCTCACTCATTACTCTGTTTTTAACAGTTCCAGCTTGCCCCTTGCACCTTGCAGCCAACACGATTGCTGTGCTCAGGACAGCTGCTGGGCATTTGACACTTACAGCATGTGTGCACCAGCAGTCAGCACCATAAAGGAGTGAATCCACATGGACCTACTGTCTACAGCTCCACAAAGAGTGTTAAAACATGAAAAAGAGTCAGAGGGAAGGTCCAGCACTCAAGACTGTATCCTATAGAAAGAGCCTGCAGTTGGTGCAGCTCCTCAGTTTCATTCAAGCCTTTATGCAGTCTGCTAACAGGTAGCTATTGAGGGAAACAATATGCTTTCTTCTAATTAAAAATAAAGAAGGACCCAAACTTTTACAAAGTCCAGTGAATAGAAGATAGCACTGTGTAAGTTCAGGCTGAGAATAAGTTGTCACTCTTCAACAGCAAGTTTACTGTTGTGAATGTCTGGTCACCTAGGATGCAGTGTAGTCTTCAGTACATGCATCCAAATTTTAAATCTAGGCTGATTACATTCCTAGAAGGTATTACAGCTCAGTCAGAAACTGCAGCATGATAAAGGATGCTGCTTCTGTGCTTTGTGTTATGGATGAGTCAGACTAGATCATTGTGGCACTGTTCTCAAATTTAAAATCTATGAATTTAAGCAGTTCATTTGCTGAAAAGAGAAGTGTGTAGCAATAGTTATGTCACAGCAGTTCACAGTTTGACAGCAAAATGCAAAATCATCATAAGTTGTTTCAATGATGACTGTGCTGTAAGTATCAGGTTTGTGCTGCTCATATTCATATTAAATGTCTCCTTCCCATGCAGTCTGATATGCCATGCCACAGGGAGCTAGGGAGGGGATGATTGCAGAGTATTGTCTAAGTCATGGATATTAACAGGAGCAAAATGTACCCTGAAAAGCTCAATACTGCATCAATAAAAGCTCTGTAGCACAATATGAATTAAAACCTACCAAAAAAAAGTGCCAGAATGCAGAGCTGACTCCACTGTCTATACTTATATACACAGTTTATAGTAGAAGATTTTTCACTGTTAAAAAAACCAACAATCAAAACTTGCTTTCCAGTCTACAATTTTGGTACGATGCTGTGACATTCTGTCTCTTTGGAACAGATTGTCTTTAGCAATAGGGAGGCAGAGCTGGATTAGCTGCCTGGAAATGTTGTAATTTTCCAGTGCATAATAGAAGCAGATTGCTGGGGACAGTGACAGAAACTTCCTTGACCTCTCACTGGCTCAGGTAAACAGTTTTGTTGCACTGCACAAGGAGGAGAGCTTTAAAATTCAATGAATTCTACTAAATGGTTTGGGGTTTTTTTTAAGTAAGATTGGTGCATTCTGCCTGGCATTTTTTTTAATATCTAAAGCTTCTCTCACATATTTGAAATGTGTATATGTATAGTACACTGCATATTTTAACTTGCTAAAACTTTGCTTACTAATCTCTGCCAAAGAAATAATTTTAAGAAATTCAAGACAGTAAGTAGAAAACATGACTTCTATTTGGAACAGATCCCCACGTCTTTGCATTGCTGTTCTGCCTCTGCCACTGACCATGCCAGTCAGAAGGCACAGTGCCACACCTTGCCTTTAAATACTGAGCATTCAGTTCTTGAGAGACAATTAAAGTGTTACACGACTGAGCTCTCTTCACCATCATTACACTCACTGTGTTATTGAAAGAAACAGAAAGCAAAGACATATTTAATACTTAGTTTAGTTATCATTGAAAAAACTAAGTTTAAAGTAAGTTTTTCAATACAAAGAAAAAACCCTTGGGGCTGAGGAGTTTTTTAAGTAAATCACAACACTTAAAATGTGCAATCTATTAAAAATGCAGTCTACTTGAATAAAAATTGGGATAAAGCTGTACTTGTGAAGTGCCTACAGAGATCAGCCTCTCATACACCAGACCAAGTTATACCCCAGACATTGGGGCAATGCCATATAACAAGTCACCATTTGTCGTACTACATCATACTATATTGCAACTTTGAGTTTTTTGTACTTTAGAGGATGTTCCATATGCCTGAGTGTTTGAGGCAGGCCCCTCCATGGAGTCTGAAAGCAGATTCACATAAGACTGTCAAACTAGTTTGATTTCTATAGTGTTGCTAAAGACTTTAAGAACATTAAAGATGCACTCTTAGGGTTATATCATCTAAATCACTAACAAAAAGGTGGTTGCTCTGAGGTGGGTTAGTACAAGGCATACATGGGGCCACAGGAAAGAAAAAATGAGGCTGGCTCCTTCCCTCCCTGAGCCCCCACTTGTGAGAGAAAGGAAAGCAATTTTGGGGAGGCAAAGGGCAGTACCTGCTCCAACCACATGGTCCATGGTGGGGAACCTTTTGTACACAGCTGTGCTGACAGAGCGAAAGATCAGCAGGGATGTTAAATTCACATAACGCATGAGAGTCCTCCTCAGCAAGCGCCCGTACTCATCTCTGCCCTGCACGCAGCTGGAGATGAGCAGCATCAGGCGATCTGGCCAAGGCAAGTTCACAAACTGGTTCCACCAGCGATTCACCACCAAAGTTACATAGAACCCTGAGGGTTAAAAGGGAAAAAAAAGTCCAGTTACTTTAATTTTAGTTTGCAGAGTGTTGTTCATATCACTAAGCTGCTATATTTCCCAGAATAAATGCAGTAACCCATGTCAAAACCCAGGATGCAATAAATACTAATTATTTAATGGACATTGCAATGTAACAGTACATTCCAGCTGAGTATCTCATACCCATGAATTTCCAAATTTCCTCTTGTGTAGTGAAACTCAGGGAAAATTTATTTCATTGGGAGATCACGTACAAGGTATCAGTGTAAGTGGGCATGATCTAGATATATGGAAACCTTTTTTGTTAGTATATTAAAAACATGAGCTTAAACGTTGATGTGACAAAAGCAATTTGAACTTGAGAAGTCCTGTTGCTGTTGGAAACAGATGACAATTGTGAACCTCTAACCTCCCACATGCCCCTCAGCTCTGAAATGCTTCCATGCACCAACATTCACAAAATGCCTGAACAGAGACATAGTTGAAGAATAATTTCACATTTAACTGGTACTTACCAAGCACAAAAGTTACTGGGATTTGTTCAGCATATTTGTCACAGTAAATTGATAATTTTTCAAAGAACCGTTTTTGGCTACCTGTAAGAAAAAATCTGCAGCAAAAATAAAATGTATCTGTCCTTCCACAATATTCTGGCACTAGCTACTAAGTGCAAGCATGTATAAATAATCAGATATGTACACTGGGGAGCAACCTTGGCTAATGCCTTCAAGCAAATTCTTAAAGGGAAAGGTCCGAACACTTTTGGCAAGTATTAAAGAAGCTGGAGGAAGCAACAGTATTATTCCCTGGTTTTTGTAGTTTTTTTCTCAGGACTAATCTGAATGGTACTACTAATTAGATCAATATGTCTGGAAAATTTTGCTGTCCCATACAGACCAAAGATGACAGCAAGCTCTAAGTCTGCAAGCAGAGCTTAATCTCCTTTTCCAGAGTGGTACTTAATGGAAATGCTCAGGTCTGCTTGAATTGCAAAAGATTACCAATAAAATTCCTCTGATTTGAAAATGTTACATTGTTGCAACAGTTTTTTAATTCTTACTCCTATGACATTTTTCTTTTCCACAAGATTAAAATACAACTGTATTTTGCAATCAGGAAAATATTCACCAAATGATACCAAGTGGGCCACAGTAGTAGATTCTGCCCACAGGAAAAGGAGTCTAATGACATACAATGAGCTTCAGTATAATTTTTTTTTATTTGTATAGGTGAGTTATTTTTTGACTTCTTATAAATGGAACATATAACAAATATTTGGTGGGTTTTGCTTACAATTGTGCAATAAACTGGAGCACATGTAGAAAGCTTTCTGTGGTGTATTTACCATGGTCTTCAATTGCCTGACATTTCAATTAAACTAGATTAATTTAAATATCTGTGAGACTTTGGTGTTCCTTTACATATTAATGCTATAATTTTCTTTCTTTGTTTACAGGTATAGATTACTGAACAAAAAATAGCGATTAATCAGAGAAAAACTGAAGCTCATTTTCTCCTTGCTTCCAATAAAAACCAGGGATCTAATTAGAGATCACAGTAAGAACTGAACCATAATTTTGATACTTCTGTGTAATGTACTTCATCAATTAAAAGTTTCACTGTACTAATTGATGCATTGCATCTGTCATACGGAGTATAATTCACACCTTGGTGAAAAAAGCAATTATTCTTGTAATATGTTCGTGCCAGGTGCTGGGTGACACGCAGATAATAACAGTGTCTGGCTTCCATGCAGTTTTACTTGGTTCTTTGCAAGCTTAAAAATCAAGTTTGCATGCCTTCCTAGCTTGAAGAAAAACTTTGCTTTTCTTGGCTATATAACTTCACTCCAAAATGATTCTCTCAGTGTTGTTAAATTCTCACTGAGCAACCAAAGACAGAGTTCTGCAGGGAGAACAAAAGGTCTATACCTTTGATCTAAGGCAGGGAGGCGCTCTCACAACTGACAGCTCAATGTCAGAATGACAAAAGCTATATAACCTAAGCTTGCTCTTAATTTTTATTTAGTCTAACTTCAGTAGGATGGTTGCTCAATGCTAGGTTAAAAGTACAATCAGCTGAATATGATAAATGGTATTGACACGCTACGCATTTCCTCTGGAACCTTAAAGTAAACATGGAAAGGTAAGCACATTGGAAAATGTCCAAGGAAAAGATAATAAGTAAAGAGTAACCTCCCCCCATCATTCATCAGCCTAACTCCAGGAAGTCTGAAACTTCAGCATAACATTTAATGAGATGTGAATTGGAAAGAGTGTACCTGTATAATACACTTATCGCTGTGTAAAGAGTAGCAAAAACAATAAATTCTCTGTACAGCAATTTGTAGATGCTGCCTTTCCACCTTAGGAGTAATCTGTGAAATCCAAAGAAAGTGGCATTTGCTACTTTGCTGGAATAAGTGACTGTCATCGTCGTGGTAGGCTGGGCCTAGAAACAGTAGAAGAGAAGCAGGACACCAACAGCATTTTAGACAGCGTATCCTAACCTGAATGCACCCTTGTATAGATAGATACATGGATATACATGTAAATTTAAACATATAAAATATGTATACATAAATACGTGGTGTTTGTATTCATATATCTAGAGAGAGGGAAAAATAAAAATCTTGCAGTTACAAGCCCTGTTGAGACCTGCAGATTGACTGGTGCGAGGCTGTATTTGGGCTTTATGTCAATGACCACCCAAACCCAGCAGCTAGCACTGAATGTGGCCACTTTTCTGGGTGGCAGTGGCTGGGACATATTACACCTCTGCAGTCTCTGCTTACACTCAGTTTGCTCCACTCTAGTGTGAGCAAAGAATAGGGAACAAATTTGCTTGACATTTTTTTCAAAATTTTCAACTTCTTGGTTACAGCAGTGAAGCTAAATTCCACAAATGCAGGTACATCCCCAGCCAGTATTTTTAGTTGGCCGTGGTAATTATAATCATTGAAAAAACAAATGAGGTTTGGGGACTGCCTCTTTCATTAACAGTTATGACAGCAGCTGAACTCAGCTGGGGAATGCTGTTATTTCTCCCCTTGGCAGCTAGACTGCTCCTCAATACTTCAGCATTGCATGGCCATGCAAAACAAGCCCTAAGGCTGCTCAGGTAGGTAGTGTGAGACACAGTGTAATTAAAGTACAACTGAAAATACACAGGTAAATACTTTGTGCTGGTTTTGGTACTTGCTCACCCAGTGCAGGGAGATGCTGCAGGAACTTTCATATGCTTACAAAACAAATCCTAGCTCCAAATGCGAATGAAAACAGTTTTATACAGCATGCGAGAAAGAGAGTAATTAAGACAATCACAAAATCTCAAGAAAGTTACTGTGTATCACAAATATTATTCTTGTCTATATTTTTGTGATGCCACTGTAGCAAATTTATTGGGGGGATGGGGGAGAAAAACCTGAACTCCTAGTTAATAGATGAAAATATTTTGTGCATCTTGGCTGTGTCTCTGATGCAGAGCATAATGTAAGCCATTAAAATTCACCTGTAAATGTGCCAGTTTTTATTTTAGTCACCAAGGGACTCAGCAGGGAAAAGACACTATAAGCCTTGTATTGCTGACAGGCTGCCTCTTTTCCTCTGCAGAACGATTGCTCGATATTTGACAGCATGGAGATGAAGATTATTTTTTGTGTTGGTTTTTTTTTTCTTTCTTAAAAAAAAAAAGCATGGGTTTTGGTCTTTAGAATCCAGATGGTACTTTTTCTTTTCCTGAGCCTTGGCACAGACCTTTAAATTTTTTGTTGTCATTGTTGTACTCTAAGAAGTTCAATGCAAGAGCCAACTTGTCTGACTGGCATGCATGGAAATGCAGTCCTGTCTGCTAAAAATCTTATGACTAGGATGCAATACTTAAGAAAATGGAGGCAAAGATGTCCATTCTCCCGCAAAAGTGGGACTTTATGAACAATGAAAGAAATCTGTGGCTGGGAGGAATGGGGAAAAAGGATATGCTTAAAAATATACTGTGTTTCCTGGAACTATTGTAGGAGCCTTTAGATCTTGCCCATTGATGTGTGGAGTATGTGCCTAAGCCATGCCACCAACAAGTGTGCCTCTATCTCCCCATTAATATCCACTTTGTAATGGAAATCGCCAGTAGGAAATCTCCAGCAGGGACTTGGATCTAGGAAAGATGTCTGATAGTGGGAGGGCTTGTAGCTTGGCAGGAACCCAGACCCTCAGCACAACACAGGGCTACAATCAGAGGATGAAGTTAGACAAATGCAGGATGAAACAAAACATAGCCTGCTAACTGTAGGGGCAGCCAAATATCAGAACAGGGGACTAGACAGTCACCCTCTTGTTTAGGATCTTTAAGCTGAGGGCAAATTGTAGTACAGAAGATGACCTTTGGGAAGAATTCACATAACTGAGACAGGCAGGGGCTGAGGGGTTCTGCTGCTCTCTCCTGGTATCTGGGCATCTGTTGTGGGCCACAGATGAAAAAAGATTGCTTGCAACGCCCTTGGAGCTTCTGGAGCTCTGCAGAAAGGCAGCCATTAGTGTCAAAAACATGACTCTCAGTTTCTGCATTGGAGGTTCAGGAAAGATTCCGTCTCCCAGCTATCAGAAAGTGGAAAGTGCCAAAAACTGGTCAGTAGCTAAGCTGGACAAAGTGGGTCTACCTTCCCTACAGACCTGAAGCAAATCCTGTCTTGCAAGGCCTAGTAGATTGGTTTTGGCCACAAATGCAGTGCTGTAGTAATAACAGGAATCAAGATAAGGAATATTTCCACATGCATTAGACTGGGAGAACATTTTTATCCACCAAATGCAATTTGTCTGCTTGTAGCAACTATATTTCATTTAATCACAGTCCAGCCATCTCTTAGCACCTTACTCAATGCCCTTGACTCTGAACAGAAATTCTTGGAAGACACTAGATGCCCCTTCTTATTCTTTCTTCCTCTGAAATGGGGCAAAGAAAAGTGGGACTGTTACAGAAATTTGGTGCCTTGGTTTCCTTTCCTTGCCTATTGTATGCTCTGTTTTATCCTCTTGCTAAGTAAATGCTTTCCTAAACATTTATCATTGGGTTCATATAGGGACTTCAGGATAACATAATTCAAAGTTTTAAAGTATACATTAGGTCAGATTAGGTAATTGCAGAACAGTTTTGACTATACAAAGCTATGAAAGACAGCTTTGCTTTTGTCTGGTTAGATTTCTCAACACAGGAAACACAAATTTAAATCTGCATTTGTGGTTTATTATTTTTTTTTTCTGACAACAACAACCATTTAGGTATGGCCTCCCCTTGCAACAGGAGGTTTTGGAGTAAAGCCTTGGGCTGACTCTGGCTCTTGCAGAGTGGTCCCAAGCCCTTGGTTCATGGGCAGCATGTTGGCAGAGAGTCCTTCCTACATTACTTATGGCCACAGGAAATTAAAAAGCTAAAACTGAGATGGACAGGAAGAGCAAAGCATAATGATGCCCCCCAGCACATTCCTTCCTAAGCACTCTTTTGGCCAGGGCTGAAGAAGGACAGAGTACATTAGATCAGATACCACAGGCACCAGTGTAATGAAAAACATTCCTAATTATCATGCTGCCCTTAAATTCATTAGCAGATATAGGGTTAGGCTTTTTGCTGGTATGGATTTGTGAGTTTTGAGGACATAACACAAGTTATGCCCATTTGATGCCTGCAGAGACCTTGACTAATATCTATGATGCTGCTTTTTTTTTTTACTCAGTGTTTATTTCCTTTCTGAAACTCTCTCAAGCACAAACGAAATGAGAGTTATATATTATTCCACTTTTGCAAAGATCATTAGAAGACCTTGGACATAAACAGCTAAAAATATAAGTGTGTCCTCTCTGTCAATATTGAACCCAATTGTAAATGTGATTTTTGCCTGGCTTAGAACTTCTGGATGCATTAGGATTCAGAGACAAACCACAATACAAAATAACAGCCATCAATGTTTCCTAACTGACCATGAAAGGCTCTTTACAGAATATATAAATAAATAGTACCTCTATGCAGACTTACCCCTTGTCATTGTTCACCTTACGTTTTAGTTTACGGCATAGAAGAGAAAGTGAGATTTGAGTTAAGCCAAGTATAAAAACATATTAAGCTTACGCTGTATCCACTGACCTGCTATTTTGATTCAGCAATCCAAGCCCGAAGGCAAATCCTGGACCCTTCCTCTTTCTCAGATGTCCTTAACCAAGTCCCCTTCAGATCTGCAAAAATCACCTTGCTCTTCCCTTAACCTGAAGCAAGGGGTTGCTGCTGCCGAGCCCTGAGAGGAGTGGACTGACAAGAACAGGGGTTAAAATGTCTTTCCACTTCTGGAAGTCTGTTTTTGCCAAGTACTCTGTCCTGTCAGTTACACAGGGAACAAACGCAAGCAGCAGCAGCAGCAGCAGCTGCTGATCTTGCTCTTTTCTAGTCTATAATTATAACGCCACTTGCCATCGGAAGGACCTCTTTCATTTGAATGAAGAATCTTGCAATGGTTTTGGCTGGCACATACAGTTTTTTTGCATTTTATTTCCTCCAAAATGGGATGGACAAGAAGTGAGTTTTTTGTTCTGAGACTTGTCTTGAAAAGTGGCGTGTCTCTAACACGGCCCTGTGAAGACACATCAATGAATAGCACTGATTACCTACGTCTAAACAGGAAGACCAGAGACAACCCCACCAAACCTGAAAATGTTCCCCAGCTGCACCTTGGTCCCGCCGTGGACCACAGCATTTGTTGCATTTCTGCTTTGCTGATTTGATTTGGGAAATCAGGTCTCTAGGGCATGCTGTAGAAATCACTCATCCCTCAAAACAGGCAGAGTTGCTGCTAGGAAAAGCCTCAGTGGACCTATTCACAACTGTATATTTCAGCACGTGAAAATCCTTCTGCAACTGGAGGTTTTGCATAGAACTTCTTTCCCTTTTCCCCTTTGTAAAATGAGATGAGCTCTGTCTTTTATGACCTATGGCATTAAGAGTGAGCTGTAAAAGGTGATAGACTGCGAAAGCCCAGGAGATACCATATAATGTCATAAACTTCAGCAGAGAATGAAATAATGTGACTGTGAAGTAAATTTAAAAAAATGCAGGGGAAGAGGATAAGCGAGATTTATAGATTTAATTCATTTTATGATGAAACATTTCCCCCCCTGCCTTAGTCACATTAAGCTATTTGAGGCCTTTTATTTAATTAAAACTCTCCCAGAAAGAATGGAAGTTTCTGCCATTGTTTACCTTTCTTCTTGTTGTTAATGGCCGAAGAAAGACACTTTGATGTCAAAGCAGGCGAGATATTAGACTGTGGCATGTGTGTGTCAGGCAGTGGCCTGTGGCGAAAGATGACAAATCATTTTAGCATTCAGTGACTTGGCATGGAGAAACATACTGCCTGATCCTATTACAGAGACTGCCCTGCGCAAGGAAAATTC